CAACCAGACCTGCCTTGTGCATTGTGGCTGCCCCGCACATGTAGCTGCCCTGCTACACCTGTGAACATTATCATGCAAGTGTAAAACTGATTGAATGAGAGAGGACAAAAGAGAAGCAATTATAAATGGCAGTGAATCAAATTAGGGGTTTCTGTCTGTACAGAACCAGGATGTGATCCTACCAGGATGTGATTAAAGTTAATTTTGTAAATATACTAAATTGGAAATTGTTGTTAATACCAGAAAAGTCACCAATAGTAAGGTTGACTGAAAAACATTGGAAGGTGGGAACAAAACCATGTTAGCACCATCAGTAATCAGGCCATTGGGTCTCTCTGTATCTCTCTCTTTTTTTCCATTTTTTAAAAATTATTTTATATAAAGTGGAACAGCAACTATTGAGAGTACTTGCTTCAGAAAGCCAAACAAATCCAGTAAGGAAAATGGAGATTCAGGTTCCTCCTTTGAATTACATAATCATAAAAAATAGTGTTGGAAGGGATCTCAGGAGGTTGCCTAGTCCAATCCCCTGCTCAAAGCAGGACCAACCCCAACTATATCATCCCAGCCAAGGCTTTGTCTGGGGTCGCTCCTCCCCTGCTGCACTAATAGAAAATTAGTGTTGGAAATAAGGCGATTCATATCTTTAGCCTTGAAGCTCATTACTACTGCACAGTAGCACTGTGAGGCATGAACTGTGATGTGATGCTACTGCACAGTAGTAGCAAGCTACTGTTCAGTCAGTGTCACCAGGAAGCTGTGTGGAGACACTACTGTGCAGTAACACTAGTTACCTTGCAGTCATTTAGTACTTGGGTATGCAAGTACTAAATGACTGTGCAGTAACAGCTCCACAGTCATGCCTAAGCAGGTTTTATAAACTTTGTCCTGTTTCCTGTGATTTTGGGCATGGTTTATAGACTTACAAGTTGAAATGATTGTATTTGTTTATATTTAAATACTGTATTCAGAAATGCCTAAAAACTAGACATTTTGCATTTTAATTATTTTTGCAATCTAGATGACTTGAGATGAAGAGAAATACAGTGGAAGGAAACACATTGGAATCCCAGATGACACTGTAGCTGCTACTTTATTTTGGGGAAACTGCTTTCCTATGTGCTATGTGATGGTCCATTAAAGCCCAATATTTCATCAGTTGCCTGAAAATTAGCAAATCTAGTGACATAAAAAACCAAGTCAATATCAATATCTGTTCTCCAAAACATGAACAAATATATACATTTCTAAAATTATTTTGAGAATTTATCATGGAAATTCTTCAAAAAAGACTTTGATAAATTCTACTGGTGAATGTTTAGCCTCACTGTAATCCAAAGGATTATTTTCTATTGTTTACAATGTCAGAATAACGTATCAGGAACACATTTAACAGAAAAGAATATATTTGCTTACTTGATCTTTGGTTTTTGATGAAGAATAGTTTTAATCTCTCTTTAAATGTATTTTCATTCATGTAGAATTCGATTTGTACCCTGCAACACAAAAAAGAGTAGTACCATTAAACAGTCAATTTATTACATTATTATGTATGCACATTTGCAAGAGACTTTGCAAATGAACATTCTTGCCATGTGTTTATACCATAAAACCAGAGGAACATATTAAGAGTTTTAGACAATATGGATATTAGGCCTGTGCAAGTAGGCAGTTATTCGATCTGGCTTCGGATCCAGCCACATCAGATGCCAGTGATCCAATCCTGAGCTCCAGATCCATTTTCCACTTTGATCTGGCCGAAGCGGCTCCGAAGCTTCGGTGCCGCCTCAGAGATCCGGCCATAGGGTATAATGGGGAATCAATGAAATATCTATAACGTTGTTGTTTTTTCTCTGATTTGGATGAAACATACAGGAATGGTAGATTCTGCTGAGAACATGAAGCCTGCCAAGTTTCAAAAGGATCGGTACAGGGGTTTGGAGGGGAACTGCACCCCAAATTCTTGAAAGCAAAACTCATGTCACGCGTGTGTGTTACACCACGGGGGGGTGGGTAAAAACTGCAGGGGTGGTAGCCCCTGGTGAGGCCACAAAGTCTGACAAGTTTCAAGAAGGTCAGTGGAGGGGTTTGGGGGGAACTTCACCTCAAATTCTTGAAAGCAAAACTCATGTCCCATGTATGTGTTACACCACAGTGGGATGAAAACTGCAGGGGTGGTACCTCCTGCTGAGGCCACAAAGCCTGCCAAGTTCCAATGTGATAGGTGCAGGGGTTCACCACCCCTGCAGTTTATAAATACCCCCCCCCCGCACCCCCCCCGTGGTATAACACACACACATGTGGCTACCACCCCTGCAAGTTTCATCCAAATCAGACAAAAAACAACAAAGTTATAGTTATTTCAATGATTCCCCATTATACCCTATGCCTGGATCTCTGAAGCAACTCCAAAGCTTTTCCAAAGAGGTTTGAAAGCTCCAAACCACTTCAGAAAGCCTAAAGAAGCCAGTGCTTCAATCCGGACATGCTGCTTCAGACGCCAAAGTTTCCAAAGCTTCTCCAGATCTGAAGCATGGTCCGAAGCCTTGCACAGCCCTAATAGATATTTAAGCACACAAAACATGTTATTCCTTCTTTTTTGTATATAATTCTCAAATATATGTCCACTGTGGTCATATATACAAGATATATGCGATTTTTTTATTATAAAATGTACTCAGACCTGAACACAATATACCACATTCCTCCCAGTATTGGATAGGAAGGTACTTCTTTCATCTTTGGATATGCTGCAGCAAAGAACAGAACTATAACATTTCATTGCCCATCTCCTTCCTCCATTTCCCCCTTTTTTCTATAATTTATGTCAACATCATGACCACCTTGCTGTCCTCTATGACCCAAGGGTCACATTTACTCAAGTACTGCCACTTAACACATTTCTCCCACTCATTGAATAACTTTACTTCTGATTACTTTTTTTCTTGGATGTATTGTCTTTATTTGTCTAAGTGGATTCTGCTTTTATGAAGCCTCCATTCTTACTTGAAAAGCGTTTTTGAAATAATATCTATTGCTGTCACTCTTTCTCATGTTTTCCCACTTTCATTCCCTGCCACTTCATTACTATGGTGTTTTTTTCTGTATACCTTTGTATGGAATCTAGTGTGTCCATTTAGCAAGATTAGCAGGTTTAAAGAATAGGATACAACATCACTCTTCAACAGCAAGCCAAGGGCAGGGAAAAAGGGGGTGTCTAAAGGGGGCCTGGGCTGGGACTGTCCACACCACAGAGGACATTGCTCATTCCTGCCTACCCTCTCTTTCATCAGCCTTGATCTTCCCTTTTCCAAACTTGAAACAGAGCCTGCCAGGAGGGTTTCAGAGCACCGAAGTTGCTACAATTTGAAACATCTTTATCTGATATCTCATGTAATGAGGGGTCAGATTTTCACCTGATCGGCATTTTTGAAGGAATCTGCAGTTGTGCACTTGTGTTTGATCATAGCTATAAACTCCTTCCTCAGGCCATATTGGGCAAAAATTATCACTTCTGTCTGCGCTCACAGTTTTTTTCTGCTAAGATTAAGCAGGGGTCACTGATGCCTTTACAGCACAGCCACTGGGTAGTGGGAGAGGTAGATCTGATCCCTGTTTCCACACCTATATTTTATTCAGTTCAGAGGGGTGGATGTCGTATACTTAGACTTCAGGAAGGCCTTCGATAAGGTATCCCACCCCATACTGGTGAACAAGTTAAGAGGCTGTGACTTGGATGACTACACAGTCCGGTGGGTGGCGAACTGGCTGGAGGGTCACACCCAGAGAGTCATGGTGGATGGGTCGGTTTCAACCTGGAAGGGTGTGGGCAGTGGGGTCCCGCAGGGCTCGGTCCTTGAACTGATACTCTTTAATGTCTTCATCAGCGACTTGGACAAGGGAGTGAAGTGTACTCTGTCCAAGTTTGCGGATGACACAAAACTGTGGGGAGAAGTGGACACGCCGGAGGGCAGGGAACACCTGCAAGCAGAACGGGACGGGTTGGACAAGTGGGTAGAAAACAACAGAATGCAGTTCAACAAGGAGAAATGCAAAGTGCTGCACCTAGGGAGGAAAAATGTCCAGCATACCTACTGCCTAGGAAATGACCTGCTGGGTGGCACGGAAGTGGAAAGGGATCTTGGAGTCCTAGTGGACTTCAAGATGAATATGAGTCTGCAGTGTGACGAAGCCATCAGAAAAGCTAATGGCACTTTATTGTGCATCAGCAGATGCATGATGAATAGATCCAAAGAGGTGATACTTCCCCTCTATCGGGTGCTGGTCAGACCGCAGTTGGAGTACTGTGTGCAATTCTGGGCGCCGCACTTCAAGAGGGATGCAGATAACCTGGAGAGGGTCCAGAGAAGGGCCACTCGTATGGTTAAGGGCTTGCAGACCAAGCCCTATGAGGAGAGACTAGAGAACCTGGACCTTTTCAGCCTCCGCTAGAGAAGGGTGAGCGGCGGCCTTGCGGCTGCACCTGTTAGACTGGACATTAGGAAGAACTTCTTCACAGTTAGAGTGGCCAAGGTCTGGAACGGGCTCCCAAGGGAGGTGGTGCTCTCCCCTACCCTGGGGGTCTTCAAGAGGAGGTTGGATATGCATCTAGGTGGGGTCATCTAGACCCAGCACTCATTCCTGCCTATGCAGGGGGCCGGACTCGATGATCTATTGAGGTCTCTTCCGAACCTAACTTCTATGAATCTATGAATCTATTACATTAATCAGAACCCAGGTCTTCCTCCTCTCCCTAACACTCTCCTTCAAAGTGAGTGCCTCCACCAGGTAACAGAGTCAAGCTATCTCTTGTGATCTCTCTCTGCCCCCAGTGAATACTGAATTCTTTTTTTGCACAGTGATAAATCTTCAATAAGGGGACTGGAGAGTGTCCTCCCCATTCTAGAACAGCTGCTAGACTAACATTTAAGGCAATTTCCTGCGGGATCTGAGAATGCTCTGCCAAAGCAAAGGAGGGAATTGAACCTGGGTATACGAAATCCTGGGTATGTCCTCTAAGCATTAGAGGCTTAGGCCTGGGCAACTAGTGCCACCTTAGTCAGGGGGGGCATGTCTGTCCCCCCCAGTGACTAGGGCGTGTCCCCTGGGGCTGATCGTGCTGTTGGGGGGGGTCCCCCCATGGCCAATCTCACTGGGGGGGGGGGGGGGACCCTGCAGCTGATCACACCAACCAGGAAGCAGTCGTGGCACTCCCTGAAGTGGCCATGGTGCTCCCAGAAGTGTCCACTCTGGTGCTCCCACTCCCCAGCTGGTGCTCGCAGGGGGTTACTGGTGCTCCTGCCTACCCCCCCCCGCCCATCGCCTAAGCTCCCAGGGGGTGAACGTGCACCCCTGTGCCCCTCCCTATGCATCACCACTGGGTTTAGGAAGTTATGTAAGTGGAATCATGAACTGGTGGCTGAAACAACCTTTTTTTGTGCGAGGAATGATCATGTAGTTGTGTGTTAGCCATGCTTTGAGGAAGCCTACAGGCTTGTATTTCTTAGGAGATTTAGGCAAAAGATCCCAGTTCAGCTCAAGTGGGAGATGTTGTGTTGAGCTCCTCAAGAGTAGAGCAGTTTTAAACATGCAGAGAGCCACTCCTCTAGGTACTGGAGAAATTTTAAAGTGAGAGAGTGAGGGGCTGATAGGAATCCAGGTGTGTTCAGGATTAGATGGAAACTGAACAGAGGTTGTGAGGTTCATGGTTTTAAATGTAAACAACTAAATTCTGCTCAAGTGCTTTTTTGTACCCATCCAAATTGCTTATTCTTTTCATCATTACTGTTATATTTTTAATAGGACCTATTTTTCATTATTTAGTTGGCTTTCAAACTCATGGTATAAACCCAATCTTCAAGGAGATTTTCAGCAAGTTAAATAAAGCACCACAAGATATTAGACTGAGGGACTTCCATTTGAAAGGGAACACTGTGCTACTGAGCTTCTGACATGATTTAAAATAATCTCACATATTTTAGATAAGAAAATTATAGTAGTCGCTTACCATGAAAGAATAGCATGCTACCTGTAAGTGGTGATTTAATGACAATTAGGAAAGAGAATGTGGGGGCTAATCACTTTCCTATCAACTGCCATTATGATTTGCACTGATAGCCTACTAACAGCTGTCTGCTTCTACTTTCCTTTCCTTAGCAACCAGAGTTCACAAGCTGATTGGGATTCCACAAGGTGATGGTTTCCATGGTAAAATGGATTACAAATGCAGCTAACAGCACATTCAACCCCTCCTTCCTCCCATTTTTCTTTCTAAAGTGAAACCTGAAAACTATATGTTAATTCTACATTTGCAGGAGCTACACTAAAAATACTTATTAAATTAAATAGCCAGTGTTCACTTTTTGACTTCAACCTATAATGCAAAGGACAGAAACACAGACCTCTGGAGAGAAACTTTGGTTTGTTTACCTTACATTGTATGATTTGTAGAAAAGCAAATTGGAACCAATTAGGGCAGAAACACCTGGATATACTT